TTCAGTCGAGCTTAGTTTAGTAACCTCCAGATTATCACTTACAATGGTTGCCAGATGAAACTCCAAGACTGAAGGCAGGAGACATGCTTCTCTAACTGCAGCTGCTTTAGAGAATTTGCAGATTCAATACCTCTTGTTTGATCATAAAATGTTTAGTTTGCTGGAATAGACTACTAAAGTGTTTAAGATCCCGTCGTGTGGAATTTGATAAATTTGAGTTATGGGCGCATGATTAATTTAACCCAAACTTCTAAAATTTGAGAAATGATTGAAATTGGCTATTTGTTTTTTTTTTTTCCTTCTCTTAAACTTTAGAAATTGCACATAAAAGCAAGTAGGCTTAGAACCCTTCACATAAGTTTTTTTTGGATTGCAACGATGAATCTTAGCAACTCTTTTGAATTAGGCTACAAGGGATTAATCCCTCATGAATTTTTTAATTCTTATGTAGATAATTGAATTGAGAAAGAGATTAGTTGAGGTACACGTAAATTGACCTGACCACTCCTGACAGTTGAATAAAAGAAAAAAAAAAGTTTTATTGGGGGTAATCATCAAATTGAGGAGAACGATTAAAGAATAATTATCAAAATTTGTTGTGTCTTGCAAATATAAGTGTTTTTTCATTTACATTATTTATAAAGTAATTCTTCATAGTAATTTTTCATTTTGCTGCTTTAATTTTTCACACATAACGTACACGTAATAAAATAGAACTTAATTAAGAAAATTTATAAGAAGTTTATATTATATAAAAGTACTAGAATTAGAATAATTTTCATAGAAATTGTTATTTTGACAAATCATTTTGTAAACAAAGTATAAATAAGCACGTCAATCATCGAATTTTGAGTGATTCAAATCTAAGTTCGATTTAAAAACTCTATTTTGAATATGATTATATTACCAACCAAATTTCGTCTTTACAATTTATATAAATATCCATATCCATTAAATAATAAAAATTTGATCAAAAACTAAATCTTAAATACACACGTGTGTGTGCATATATTTTTGTGAATTGTTTATGATACCGAATTCAAAGGAAGATGAAATTGGTAACTTAGTGTGGCATCGTAGAAATATGAGAAATAGCTAGAGAGTGAAAAAATAATTGTGAGATTAAGTCTCATATATTTTTGTGAATCGTTTATGATACCAAATTCATTTACCAAATTCACAATTTTTTTTAATATGTGACCAAATATATACGAAAGAAAAACTAAATGCAACGGTTAATTTGTCAATTCTTAAATCCAATGCTACCACTGCCACCATTCCCACCACCCTTATCCTTAGGTAAAAAATTTTATTATTAAAGGGTGATATCAGTTGTTTGACTGAATATTGATTGCCTACCCAATCAGATCCATTTATATAGTTGTGTACGTTTTGACCGGACACCAATCCCTCTGTTTTTTATTGAGCCCAATTTCAAGCCAGCCTAGGCCCAATTGAGATTTGCCCAATGACGTGGCAGGGTTTGGTTAGCACTGTTTCAAATCTCAATAGGTTCACAACTAGTCACTGTAGAAACAAAACAGACCAATCACTATGGACACATAGATTGCCTTTTACCACATTCCAACTGTGATTGGATCTTCAGCTAACAGCTCTGTCTTTTTAGCATTCTCTTCATGCAATAGAACCATATAGAAGCATGTATAAACCGTTATAGACTGCGTGAAATAGAGATTAAGCCAACCTTTCGTAAGGAAAGTTCAAATATTTCGAATCAGCCCGCCATTTTTGAAAACACTGAAAGCAAAAACAGTTTGTTTTCAGAAGCAATGGAAGCATTTCCTAGTCAACTCGAACGCACAGTTGCTTCAGCTCTTCTCCTTCTCTCCACCACACCTCCAATGTGATAAAACAACAAATAAACTGATATTTCACTCTATGTTCAAGTTGATTATATTTCAATTCGTACTTAAGTTTCTATGATCTCTGTATTTGAATCTAATTGAATTGTGTTGTGAATTTCTGTAGTTGTAAAAGTAAGAGCAATAACTGTTCGGAGAGCTTGATGTTGAGCACATCGAAATCGAATTCGAAGTCGTGTGGTTCGTCTTCGAGTGTGACTACTAGTGATGATTGTTCGTCTGCGGAGGTTCGAGCTCATGAGCTCCAAATGGTCGCTGTTGTGGCTCGTTGTTATGAGATGAAGCTCAAGGTGATCATCCATATTTCTCCTCTTACATTCTAATGAAAAATTCAGTTCTATTGATTTGGCTTTGAAGCTCTATTCGCTTCGCATTGTGAGTTTGTGTTGGTGAAGCTCATAGAAACTCGAATTTTTTCATATTATTTTCGTTATTCCGGCGGTAATTTTGCTTAATCATTGTTGTAACTCACTTAGTTCTGAAGCTTCGGTGATGTGTGTAGGAAATTTTTTTATCAGTGATAGTGTTCTGTTTTACTCTGTTTTTCTAACCACACGAGTAAGTCGTGAATTGCAATTGGTTGCGATCAAGCTCAGCAAATTATAGATTGAAGCTCTAATTGAGTAGTGTTTTTCTATTTCTTGATTGAAAAAGACTTTTGATCTGCTTCATATTGCTTGAAATTGACTATTAACTTGCTCTGTCTCTGTTATTAATCTACTTCCTCTTCAAGTGTTAAAGTTCCGTCCGATTAAATTCAAATCTCATGCACATTGATATTACGAGTAATATAACTCATCTGTAGGTTGATATTTCTGACTTCAAAAGTTGTCCTGATTTTCTGTTGAAATCAATTCTACTTGCAATGCAAGGTGGTGCGAAAGAGACGGTCGAAGAGTAGCTTTTGGATCTCCGATCACCAGAAATTGACCTCCGGAACGCCGGAACCGACTGTCTCGGAAAATGTATCTGAGATTACTGAAGCTTCTTCGTGCGTGTCCAGTGGCGCCAGCGGGGTCTCAAGCGCGCGAAGCTGTAATGTTTCAGGTACAAGATTTGAGAAGATGGATAGCTTGGCTTTGGCGCGTGATTTGAAAAGGCAGCCAGAGGGTTTGGGTTTGGTCTCGGCTCAGTTGCGAAGCCGAGCCGAAGCTATCTTGAAGGTGCTGTCTGGTGGCTGTGCTTCGGAAGTGAGGATTCGCCAGTTGCTTGGTGATAGCCCTGACACAAGCAAAGCGTTGAGAATGTGAGAACCTCTCTCTCTCTCTCGCACACACACACAGACAGAGAGACATGCACACACAGAGACAGACACACACCCTTAACACATTTTATGTCAGGGAACCAGTTTTGACATGGCTGAGGCACGTGTATAGCCTGTGCTATGCAGGATTTGATGAGTTGGGTAATGGCCAATGGGTGCAGCAGTTTTGTGGGCTGGATATAGTTCTGTATAGTTCAACAGAATGTTTAAACCACCTGAGACATTCCTAAAATCACAAACCTGATTGTGCGCTTGTGGGACTAATCATGACTCGTAACTATAATCGGGACTAATTGAAACAGGGGTAAGATCCAGGTATCAAACCGAACTAATGTTATAATTCAATCTGGAGAATTTATAAGAAATTAAAGTTATTCTTGATCAATCTCAATATTTATTATTGATTTCAATTTTCTTTTCGTAACTAACCCAAAAAATATAATTTTACCTAAAAGAATTATAATTTTTTGTACAAATACTATCTTCGTTACATTAGTAAAATTCATCAATTTAATGGTATGATTGTTTATAGAGCTGTTATCACTAAACCCATCTCATTTATGTGCAGGTTGCTAAAGCGAGATAAAGTCAAGAGGTCTGGAGTTGGAGGTCGTAGCGACCCCTATATTTACATGGTAATGCCCACCAATGATTTAATTAATATTTGTATTCAAAATGATGCATGTTACGATATAAAAAAAATGCAAAAATTTATTGGTTGAGTTTAGAAGTAAAATTCAAAATAAAATAAGTGGGAAGCCAAAGAAAAGTAAAATTCACAAAAAAAAAATAAAAAAAAATCGAGGTATCTCTCACAGCAGTGCTTGGGAGAGTTAAACAATAGACGGATTGATCCCACTTTTGAAGGTTGTCCTATCCCATTTTTGATTAAGACGACGAATTGCTCAATAAATAAATAATGAGGTGAAAGATTAAAAACAATTCACAAAATATTCGCTCATTCTCTTTAAATACTCTTTGAAGGGTAATCAAGTGCCGAGAAACAGTGCTAATGAATAATATTTTCAGGATTTATAAGATAAGACAGTTAGATACCGAAAGATTACTCAAGCGAAGTTAAGAATGAGACATTGAATTGGGGTATGCTATGCCATTGTTTTTAGGACAAGGGTCTAACATGCGACCAACGATGGTTCTAGGAGGAGCCTATGGGATATCGTCCCCTCAAAAGTTTGAACATTTTCTTGGTATAATATACCCTTGAGAGCCTCTCTAAGGAGTAGTCAAAAGGCTTGCCTTCTTGAATTATAATTCCTTCATCTATTCTTGCACAGTAAATAAAACCCTTGCTTATAACAGGATCTATTCAATAGAATGACCAAAATAATATTTGTCGGGATATACATATATTTGTTGATATGTTTAGCGTGCATAGATCATGAATTGTTTTATGTGTGGGTCTCTTAATTTGAGGATTTTCTTTGCAGATAGCCTGATTCGGTAGCATGCTTTTATGCCCATATATATACCAAGACTTACACAGAATCATCGTTAATCCCACTGGCCACTGCTAGCGAAAGTTTTTCTTCACAAAAAAAAAAGAAGGTAAATTTTGACTTTGTAACCCCACGACTGGTTCTGTTGTGTGCATTGGGTATATAGCTGTTAGCTAGTCTCGGTGACCATTTGTGTTTAGTTCTTCGGCCAGAATTTCATCCATGTGCAAGCAGAAGGATCGGTATATAACACGATAGCAGGTTAGTTGTGATGTGCTAAATTTCTCAGTGTCAGCACACCAAACACTTTAATATTTCCTAACTGTCCCTTATTTGGAAATTAAGTTTCTTTTGCCGCTGTATATTTTTGGTATTCTTTGCCTTTAGTTTACATCCTCCCCTATAATCGAGTGGATCTGAATACCTCCTATCACAAAGGGTTCCACTACGGGTGTCCTTGATCCAGGCTGTAATAGGCTTTGAGAGAAATTTTTTGAGCTGGACTTAGCTAGCGTAATCCCAAATCCTTACCCGTTTCAGTTTTTGGGCGAGTAAGACTGGATTTAGGATAGGAGTAAGCTACTTGTAACCCAGCCTATCACTCATTGGGTAGGCCTATTGGGCAGGACAACTGGATAGATCTTTTCATTTTAAAATATAACCATATTTTGACCATTGTTTTTGTTTCCGAAGTATTTGCTGTGTTTGTTCATAAAAAAAAAAATTAAGCATGTGCTGATTTGCATCTTTTACAAAATCAAAAGATGGGTTCCACTTGTAATAAATTATAAATATGCCACCCAACTTACCTAACTGGACAATTTTTGTTTTCAAAAAAAGTGGGTGGAAAGGCAGGATTTTGGACTGATTTTTTGTGGCCGGGCTAATGGGCCGGGTACTAGGCTTGGGAAGCAAATCCAAACATTTTTTTTTGAAGAATATTAAACTTGAGTGGAAGCGGGTCAACTATCAAATTTATTGAGAATTAGAGTTTAGGCCAGGTATTAAGTCCCGTCTTGTGGTCAACTAGACCCATGGACACCCCTAGGATCTACTGTCATTAGCTGGTGATAAAAATATGTGATACAGTTATAAAAATAACAATGGTTGTCTTGCTCCCTCTAATATCAATAATCAGTGCTCTTAGAGTTAACAAATTAAAAAAATAAATGGAGGGCTAGGGTTAGGAACTGACGGTGGAGCAGGAAGGGGATGGGATGGGATGAGAAAACAATGCTAATCTTGTCTCCCTCTTACATTGTTTGGATAAAAGTACTGTCACTCTGCGAATAGCCCACGGTGCTATTTCAATTGCCAAATCAAATATGTGAACCCAGTTGGCACGAAAGAACATTACCAAGATAATGACCTGAGTATGAGTTTCACTTCTCCGTCTATTTTGGTTTGGAAATGATTAAAAAAAATAAAAATCTACATATATCTAATTCTCTAAAAAGTTGTTTAGTAAGAAATTCCATGTACCGAATCTTTTCACATGTAAAAATAAAATTGCATAAGGGCTTTTTTGTCATGCGTTGCAAGGGATATACTATCTTTGCCCGTGCACTGGATGCACAAGATCAACTGGAGCAAGTGCAAGTGTACTTGTATGGGGTCATAAGGGAAGACTACATTTGGGTGTCAAAGCAAATATGTATGAGATCCGTATCCCATCCGATATTTTTTAAATCTATTTTTTTTTTTGGTTACAAGATCCATTATTAATGATAGAGGGGTCTACCAATGTACAATGGATAATATTAGAATTGACGGTGAGTGACTTAAAAGAAACAGCAGAGAAAAACCTATAGTAGAGTAAACATCACTCCATACTAGTCACTATCACTCATTTGTGAACAATTGACAATTGCAAGAAGTAGCAATCATAAGGGATGAGAAGGAAGCAAATACAGGAAAAGGGGTGGGGGGGTGGGGGGGGGGGGGTTTATACAGTATCAAATGTGATAATGATATTTGTATGTTTTATTTGATACTAGGAATAATAATTTAAGTACGAAGTAATAGATTTGGAAGGAAGAGAATTTAATGTCAATAATTTTGAGAGAGATATTGATGACCGTTTGATGAATTTATTTGAAATCATCAAATGTACTTATTGAAGTCTGTTCTATTTTATGTTATAGATATTTTATATATGTGCATATTTTATGTGAAGATGACCATGTGGTGGTGGGCTAACCCAGAATGGTGCTGCCTATAGCTTAAGGTAAATAGAATCTATCTTAAAAAATTGGAACGGTTTCTTAGTTAAGTGTGCTTATTTAGAAGTGTGTTAGTATCCACTTGTATGTGGGTCCATTTGAATGAATTATATATGATCCACTAAAAAAAAAAGATAATTAAAGAAAAGAGTAATGTTATATTGACTCTTTAAACTAGGCATTTTTAAGGTTTTAAAAGACTTTTTTGTCCTTATGACACAAATCAAGAGAAAATATTCAATGGATGCGCCATCACCGGTGTGACCGACCAATTATGAATAAATATGTAGGATTAGTGGATTTCACTAAATTTTATAACCACTAATAACTTACACATTAAATAAACATCAGTGAAATTCACTTGTTACGTGAGGATAATAGTGTCACAAATCTCTTGGCGTGATGTATAATCTTTCTTATTTGTCTCTGTAGATGCAGACTATTGGACTTCCCTAGTTTTTGACTCAGAGAGGAGGGAGGAGGGGGGGGGGGGAGAGAGAGAGAGAGAGATGGGGTCTGAACTATAGGGAACAAGATCAACAACGGCACGGGGTTCAAACCATCGGAGCTGTCACTCTGCGTTAGGGGTTATGGCTTTTTCGGCACGGCAGCGACGATGAATCTCTGAGATTTACACATACAAGAAAAACTATCGGCCGCCGCAATGGCGGCCATGGAGAAAGTGGCAATTCACGATCTGCTTCAATCTCCTGTACGAACCAACGTAGTAGGGACGTCGACTCGAATAGAATTTTGTGTATGAGTAAATTATAATTTACTGCCAAAAAACCAATCAATTTTTGACCATATACACTTTTCTCTGACTTCTTTGATAAGACTTGCTAAGATTTAATTTTATGATTGATTATAAGAATTTTGTAGACTTTTCCCTTTAGGTGTGATTATCATGTGGATTATTTTTTGAAAATATACTTTAATTTCTTTTTTATTTCTCGCTTTGGCGCACCATATATTATTCCAAAATCATTTAATTTACATTATAATCATCCATGATAGCTCTATATTGGCTAAAAAAGGGGGCCTAAGTCAGACAGTGCGAGGGCATTTTAGTCAATTTACTAGAATATGGTCAAATTTGCCACCAAGATTTTTGGTTGCAAAATTATTACCTCATCACCACTGCTCTTTATTGCTTGATTTAATGTGTCACATTTTTGGTAGAAAAATTGTCAATCGGACAACCACGCCAAGGCTTAAATGTTGTTTGACAATACTTTTTAATTTAAATATTTTTTAGGTAACATTTATTTTATATTATATATATATATATATATATATATATATTTTATTTCATATTTGCTTTCTTCTTCCAAACCTAATCACACATACAACATGAATGTCAAGAATTTGTAATAAAGAGAAAATAAAATCGGGTCATAAAAAAAAGTTCCTTTGTACGAAGTGATAAAATTGTTGGCAGTTTTTCAGACTCCGCATGTTGCAAGAGTCTCGTACATTAAATTGAATATATATATATTTGTTTAAAAATAGCTAATATTCAAGTACTCAAGATGATAGGCACGAAAAGTATGTAAAGTAGATACCATTATTATTACGTTTAATGATTAATCTTATAAGAATATATATAGAAGCATTTATCCATTTTAGTTTCACATTCTATCGCTATATTGATGTTGGTACCTTCATTGTCTTCATAAATATATTTTCTTTCACATAATTTGGATATTTAATCCAAATCCAAAATTTCAAAATTTCCAACATTTTATTGAAATGGAAAATTAAAAATTTTTATTTTGCCAATTATTATGACAAATTATTAATTGAATTTGATCAAAAGTAAAGGAAATTGAGCCAATTTGGTTTCACAACAAGATACTTTAAATTGAATATTTGGACTTTTTTAAAAATAAAACTAGCATATTAGAAATTGTATGAAAAATTCAAAATTGTATTAAAAACATGATACCAACTACATCAGAAGCCTCAATCTTTGGTGATTATTAGTAAATACATTGAAGGATATTCAAAAAAGCTTATGCATTTTATTAAAAATGTCACTACCCATCAATTTATTCCACACATTTTATGCAAAGCATATAGTAGCATTCTATACATTTGAGTACGGGATGATCACCGGAAAGCCTACCACAAGAACAACAGGTGAACTGTTTCATCGCATTTTTGAAGAAACTTGAGAGGGTGTGAGTGATCCTTAAACTCACGGGCCTAACTTGATATTTAGATATGGATGATGAATACATTTAGGATGAAACGATTGATTACATCACGACAATAGTAGATCTAATACCTTGTATTATTTCTTCTCCTCACAAAATTTACAATAAAATTCTCGGAATGGTCAAAGAAAGCATTGCATTGCATTGGGAGGCCTGTGGATAGCTAGTTGGACTTAGGGTGTGCTTGTGAGCTTGATGTACAATAGAAGTGTGCATGAAAGAGGTGGGCAAGAGAGCACATTTAACATCAATGGAGAAGAAT